CCAAAAACAAATGAGCATGTTTTACAATAAATTAAAGCTCTAAACTTCGCATCTGGCAATTATCACATTCAAATACATACAAATAAAAGTTGATTAATAAACAGTATACGGTTGTACTCCCCTATCAACATATCATCGGATAAAACCTTTATCATAAAAAAAAAGTTCTTATATAGAGAATGTGCTTATATAGAAAATTATTTTTATATATTAAAAAGCAATTGGTTTAAAAAAATAAATGTGCTTATATAAAAATTTTCATATAATGTGCTTATATAGGAGTACGACTGTACTATATATAATTAAACTTCCTTGTTGGCTGTAGTAATGGCGGCGGCTGCCTCTTCCTTTTTTCTTTGTTTCTCAAATAAATTTTTCCTCCATTTAACATAAATAATGGTAAATAAAATTAAACAATTAACCAAAATAAAACCAATAAAAACTCCAAAATAAACTGCTTGGTTAATTGTTTTTGCATTATAAATAACTAGAATACCAGCAGGACCATCAAGAAGAATACCAACTCCCCAAACAGCAGTTAAGACAAAAATGTTCGTCGAAACTCAGCGTAAGTTTCTCAATACCTTTTCCAATGCTCATGAATAGGTTCATCTTCCATTAAACCTTTAAGATTGCCTATTCCAAGATTTTTAATATAATAAAATAATAAAGGTCACATTTGGAATGAACCAACTTTTATCGGAATCAAAGTGATGAGGAGTACTAGGCCTATTGCACAACTTATAATTGGTTCTCGCAATAGGTATAACCTAGTATTACCTTGAATTAGTGACATTATAGTTCCAGCAATAAAACCTGTCAAACTGAGTATTCCCGTGGTGCTGACTTGTCTGCGAAAAATGAAATTAAGGATATTAGAAATAATTGGTGGAATACCTGATATTACTAGTGCCAAAATGACTGATATAAATCTTGAAAGAATCGTATAAATGATAAGCGGTAAGATGATATCAACAAATAACATTAGTAGGCTTAGTAGAAATATCTTTCTTTTGCTTTCTTGGATTGAATTAATTTTGGGTGGTTTTAA